TATTATTACTTTGGGAGGCTGTGGAACCTCTAGGATGTGATGGCCTGGCTGACAGAGGTGGGTTTCTGGTGGTTGGCCACTGAAGGGTGGATCCTACCACATTTCTTGCTTATTAGTCTACTGTGGTGAGACTAGCCCCTGCCACATACCCCATCTGTGTGGTCTCAGCTTTTCCAGTGTGCTTTCCCTGCTATGATGGACTGGAACTTCTGAATCCATGAACCCAAAGAAATCTTTCCCTCTTGGCCTTGTTTCTGGGACATGTTTTGGTCACAGTGGCATACAAGTAATTATAAAGACATCACTCCTCATGTAACCATACAATGGGTAGAGTTAGGAAGGTGTGAATTGGAGGTAGAGAACATAAGCCATGCAGTATGAACTTTGGAGGTAATAACTCTTCTGTCATGTAGGTTGTCAGGGATATATGATTCCCAGCTGTGGAAAAGAAGGAACTGTGGACACAGGGTCATATTTCATGAAGAAAAACCATGTTGTTAGTTCATATGAGACCCATGTTCCCCTCCCTCTTATGGATCATCTCCTTTTCATAAGAATTGTTTATCCTGCTGTTTGTAGACAGCTAGGGTCCAGAAATCAATTTATATGGGTCATGAACCAGCACTGAGAAAACAGAATATAAACTATCCATGTGGATTACACACCATTAGTAAATATTGCTTTTTGAAACCTTAATAGATTGTACTTGTCCATGCCCACAGAGTCATGGCATGCCATATTTCTTATTATGGGTCTTGGTAGCAAGCATTTGGAAACCTAGATCCTGTGTCTTCATTATGATGGGGTTTTTCATGCTTGTTCTTGCCTGGCCTCTTGCTAGATGATTTTGTAAGCTGCCTTTCCTTCCTTTAGTTGGTTTGGGCTGCTATTATAAAGTAACCTAAACCAAGTATCTTATAAGCCATAGGAACTATTTCTCATAGCTCTAAAGGCTGGGAAGCCAAGCAGGGGACAGTATGGTAGTAGAGTCAGCTTCTGGACCAAACCAAAGGTGAACCAAAAAGCCTTCTTTTGGGTTGCAGACAGACATTTCTTTATTACATCTTCCTTCACATGGAAAAATGGGACAGAATTTTCTCCTACCATAAGCCCTCTACTCCAAGGACCCAATTATATCTCTAAGGCTCCATCTCCAACCACCATTGCTGTGGTCATTAAGACTTCAAAAGATGGATTTTGGAGAGACATGGTTACTCTGTAACACTTAGCTGCCTGTCCAGTGGGTGCTGTAGAGTCACAGAGGTGAGGATAAGGGTAGGGTGGCAGGTTGGACGTGGGAAAGCTTTTCTCTCTCTTTTGTAATTTATCCATTTTCAAGTTGATAAAAATTATACCGGCTTATCTGAGAAGCTACAAAAGAATGAATTTAGATAAATATCCCTTGTCCAACTTCTTCTGAGCCTGAAGGGAAAACTGTCCTGGAATGTCACTCTTGACAAGACCTCCCTCCTAGGTGCTTTGGCTTTATGATTGTGCTTCCAGACCTGAGGGCCACATCATTTGTTGAAGAAAGTCTCTCCCAAATTTAGCATGACAAATGCTTATTCATGGGGGAGGTTTTGTAGAAATTTTACTTTCTATCCATAGAATTCAATAATTGAAATAATTAAAAAATGTACCACTGCATATTGGAAAAAAAAGCAAGCACTAGTCAAGTTTGAGCTGGTGGCTCAGAGTCTGAGGCAGGAGGATTACAAGACCATGCCTGGATTACAGAGTATCTGGGCAACTTAGACTATGCCTCAAAATAAAATGTGAAAAGAGTGCTGAGGATGTAGCTCAGAGGTACACCACTTGCCTAGGATGTGTGATGACCTAGATTGGATTCTCAGCAATGGAAAAGAAATCAGGTGGGTCCTCCTTGGAGTTCATTGTGAGCTCTTCATATGTCATTTGGGGTCAGAGTGTGGCTTATTCCCATTTCTATCCAGTTCCCTAACGTGGGAGATCTACTCTGTCAACTCTTTGAAAAGCAGTTGCCATCAGTAACAGACCCTGCTATTTCCTATAGCTCAGGCTCCTGCCCTAGGTTGACCTTGTTTCAGGTACAAGATAGCTCAAGCTTGCTGTGCTGTGCACTGTGCATCTGAGCCCAAGCTTTATTCCCATTTGTGCGAACACCAGGAGGCTTGGCTTCCCCTCAGCTGTCCTTCCTGCCATCTAAGGTCTTATTCCCCTGCTTGGAGCCATAAGGAGTGGGAAGATGAACACATGCCTGCTTCACAAGCAGATGGTTGGGTTACTGAATAGGCTCAGTGGTCTCCCCACATGAAGTGACACCATTGTTCAAAGGGCAAGACAGTTGTAGAGAGAACTTTAGTACAACAGACTAGTTGGTGGAGACATAGTGGGGACTCTCACTCTCAAAGAATCTTCGTGCTGTAGCAGTGATTTAGGGAACAAGGGATAGCAGACTGATAAGTGCCTTCTCACGGAGGAGGGGGGAGGCTTATGGCAAGACAATGTAAATGGATATTAATCAACTATCCTTACGGTGTTTTCCAATTCTGCAAACCTCAGGACAAAGATTTCAATGGCCACTTTTCTCACTGAGAAGTTTTCTCACATGCAGCTGCTGACATATCACACAGTGGACAGGCTGACAGTGACTGTCTGAGTCACTGAATGTAATGCCATCACTTTAATAGTGTTAGGGAGCAGGATGCAAGAGCTGGGCTCCACCCAGATGCCTCCTCCTCTTTCCTTACACCCCGAGGTCTGTGAAGTCCCTGTTCTCACTTGCCCTCCGCCCCATTGATGATGCAGGCACACAGGCGGTCTCTCCTCTCTCTCCTAATCTCCAAGATATCTTAGCAGACTGAACCCCGGCAGCTCTGTTGTCTCCAGCAACTCTCATCCAATATTACTGCGTATGGACAGGAGAGTTATAGTCTCTGTCTTCATCTATACCCGGAAGATTTAGGTCAGTAGGCTCAGAAATGCCTGTAGACACACTGAGCACACTCTCAGGATGGACGACCCCAGTGGATGAGAGAGAGCGGCTCTATCTGGCCTAAAGCTATAATACTGCTGCTCCCCAGCAGACACATCTTCAGGTTTAACAGGGGAAACTAAAGATGCGTGGGAGAGAGAGGAGCTGTCCTCCGGTGAAGGCCGCGAAAGGAGACGTTTTGTTTGTAATGCTTCTCCATGAAGTGTCAAGGACAGTATCCCTGCTCTGAAATGGTCCCAGTGACCCCTTCTTCATGGCCTTTTAGCTGGGCTGTAGGGGAGCTCAGACACTAAATGAATAGTCTGTTTTCCTGAATTTACTAGAAATTAAGTTGATTCTCTTCTTTATCCCTCCGACCGTCCTTTGAGCTTTGACCGTCCTTTGAGACGGGGCTGTCTTTGTCTTTCCTAGTCCCTCTGGAGAGTCTCCAACTCCCGTGCTGAGGAAGTTCCTTCTGCCCTGGTTTGAATGTTCATGTTCCTTCCAGAATTCACCTTGAAGCTTAACCCCCAATGCAAGGGTGTTGGAAGCTGAGGCTTTTAGGGGGGTTATTAGGATGTGTGGGTGTTGCCCTTATGAAAGACAAAAGGGGGGGTGTTCAGCCTTCCATCCTGTTCTCTCCTCCCTTCCAGTGTGTGAAGACTTGGCGAGAGGCTCTGTTTTAGAAACAGGAAGGTGGCCCTCACCAGATAGCATATCTGCCTGTAGCAGGAATCTTAAAGAGTCTTATTAATAAAAACAAACCCAAGGCCAGTTATTGGGGTGAATGCTGGAAGATCAGAGAAGCAGAACAAGCCACAGCCATCCCACCTCGCCAATTCCTCAGCTGATCCTGTTCGTCAGCCTAGATGCCTCTCAGCTGATCTGTGTTGCTCAAAAGCCTAAAAGCTTAACCAGGCTCTAGTTCCTCATCCTCATGCCTTATATACCTTCCTGCTTTCTGCCATCACTTCCTGGGATTAAAGGCTCACTTGGTGGGATTAAAGGCGTGAGTCACCATGCCTGGCTGTTTCCAGTGTGACTTTAAACTCACAGAGATCCGCATAAGATTAAAGATGAGTGCGCCACCATTTTCTGGCCTCTATATCTAGTGGCTGTTCTGTTCTCTGACCCCAGATAAGTTTATTAGGGTCACACAATATTTTGGGGGACGCAAAATCACTACATCTGCCAGCACCTTGAACTTGGACTTCTCAGCCTTCAGAATGGTGACAAATAGATGTCTGTGGTTTGTACACATACCACTCCAGGTGGCATTTTGTTAGAGCAGAAGGTGTACATTGAGAGACTTTCCTTCCTGAGGTCTGCCTGGGTGCCTGACGCGGACTAAGACTTGGAGCCACAGCTCCCTGATCATCTGTTTGTCCGGGAAAGCGGATGCTTGTCCCACCAGGAGCATTTTAATTTCACTTCTCTAAGGTTCTCATGCGCTCAGATAAGGCTTGACCCAACTCAGCCGGTGGCCATCCTGGAAGTGAATACCGGCATGTCTACAAAACTACATTTCAAACCCTCATTCTTGGCAGCCACAAACTGTGGGCATCCCAACTCTCCCGATCTAGAGTGAGGTGACTGTCAAGAGAGCATATTTAACAAGTCTGTGCCTTGGGCATCACGATAAAAGTGGTGATCCTCGGGCCATTGTGGCCCGTCCGTTGCTTACTTACTGACTGGCGGAGTGGGCGGGGCCGTGAATATACCGGCTCCTGGATCAGATTCCTTGGAAAACGTTTTCATTTGGTGCTCACAGTGGTTTTGCATCTGTGCCAGGATGCCTTCACAGTAAGCGCACTCTCTTGTGAGGACATCCCGTTATCTTCTTTTCCTAGAACTGGCGAACCTTGTTCTCTTGATACGCTTGCTAGTGAAGACCATCTGTATGCTTAGCGATTTACAGCCCCCTGCTGTGGGATGGTCTGTATATCAAATAAAACATTGATTGGCCAGTGGCTAGGCAGGAAGTAGGTGGGACAAGGAGAGAGGAGAATTCTGGGAAGCAGAAGGCTGAGGCAGAAAGACACTGCCAGCTGCCGCCATGACAAGCAGCATGTGAAGTCGCCTGTAAGCCACCAGTCACTTGGCAAGGTATAGATTTATGGAAATGGATTAATTTGAGCTATAAGAACAGTTAGCAAGAAGCCTGCCATGGCCATACAGTTTGTAAGCAATATAAGTCTCTGTGTTTACTTGGTTGGGTCTGAGCGGCTGTGGGACTGGCAGGTGACAAAGATTTGTCCTGTCCTGACTGTGGGCAGGAAAACTCTAGCTACAGCCCCCCACTTCCCCTCACCTTTTTTTTTTTTTTTTTTTTTAAATCAAGCTTGTGTCTGTCCAGGGACTATCAGTCTCGGTTTTTTCAGCTTGTCTCCACTTGTACAGGTCCTCACACAAGGGGAATGATGTGAAATGTCCTCTGGGTTTGGGCCCTGTGCCCACAGAGGTAAGTATCCTCCTCTGAGTCTAAAAATTTCAGGAATTTATTCCTACTTCCAACTCTGGGCCACCAGAGAAAGTGGGGTGCCCATTTGGTACCCAGTGGGGTGCCTTTAGCTTCCCCTGGACGTGGCCTCCAATGAGAGTGTGCACAGGACTCCTGTCCCCATCACAGACCACCCCATGCCTGTGCTTGCCCTTGCATCAGGCAGAGCTCAAGTGAGGATGATTGGCTCCTTTGCAGATGCGAGGGCTACATGTGCCACAAAAATTATTTTAGTCCTATGCAGATCATCCAAATAATAAAGGCCTTCAACAAAATGGTGAAATAGAGGGGAAGAAGAAGAGTCCTTTGTGTGCAGTAAAGGGATAAGAGGGAGGAGGCAGGATGATGGCTCAGTAGGAAAGGCACCTGCCGGCAGGCCTGAGGACCTGAGTTCTCTCCCCAGGATCCACATGACTGTGGAGGGAGAAAGCAGAGTCCAGCAAGTTGTTCTCTGACTGCCACACGTGTGCAGTGACACACAGACAGACAGACAGACAGTCAGTCTCACACACACACACACACACACACACACACACACACACACAGACAAAAATGGTCAAGAGGGATTGTTCTTGATTATCTTCTGTTAATATTTCCAGTTTTTTTCTGTTACCACAGACAGTAATAAAACAACCTACTTTCAAATGTTAAACTTTGCTACTTTTAAACTGAAAACTCTTTTTTGAAGCTTAAGGCAGTTATTTCTGCAAAAAGATGGCTTGTGGGTTTATTAATTAAATAGAATGTAGGGAGTGTTTGAAATATTATTATCTGGGTGACTTTCCTCTACATTTATAAATACTCTGCAGTCTCACCATAATTAAGATAATATGAAAAGAGTTTGAAATATGGTGATCGCTTAAAACCTGAAAATAACTCTTTTTAGTGGGAATCATTATCTCACTAGTTTTATAACCTAATAAAAATAAAAGTAAGAGGAAAACCCTAGGGATTTAAATTTTGTGAAATCATATGTATTCTGGGGAAATGACAGCATTTTCAAATTCCTACTTAAGAAGCCGCTTTCTGGACATCTTTTCCCCTGAGATGTTCCAAGTACATGAACCTTTCCATGCCCTTCTCAGCGGGTTTGAGAAGATGCAAAGCTCTATACAAGGAGCACATGGTTTGGATTCCAAACAAGTGGTGACCTACTTCACATTGGAACTGAGATGTGTGGTAGAAACCCATAGTCTTTGAATGTGTTTTTTCATTTTATCTTTCTAAAGACTCTTCCTCTTCTCTCTAGATGGAAAGAAAGAATGCTGTAGAAGCTGTCAGCCTTCCTAACTCTTCAGGAGTCATTTTAGAGTCTTCTACAGTATCAATTCTGTTCATGCATATTACCTTGCAGTGTGATGCCAGTGTTATACATCCTTGGGAGAACTCCCCAAATACTATCTTTCTGAGTGTCATATATATATATAGTTTGAAGAAACAGATACTGGACTTGTTTAATGAACACATTCATTTGCCAGTGAGTATTGGCAAATTGGGGATTGCAGAATTAAACTCACTCTGAAGGATTAGTGTGGTTCACAATCACTGGACACATATTTCTGACCCCTTCACTTTTACCTTGTCAATGGTTAATTCACATCGATGATGTCTTTTGATTTTTTAATGGCTCTGTTTTCACCCTGGGCTAAATGAGAATATCTTATTGTGTTCCGTCCCAGGTTCTCAAGAGTTAAACAGAATCACAGTATTTCCTCAAGTCTCATTTAGTTCCCCTGAATGTATAAATTTTCTCTTTTGTTTTTCATCAGAATTGTTTGGCTAAACCATAGGGTGCTAATCCCTGGCCTGAGTTTCTGGTTTTGTAGGTATGAAGTGGAACTTACAGAATATTCTCAGGGGATGTGAATGCTACTGGACTCAAGAACACTTCCTTAGACCTGCTGGTGTTGAAGCATATGCAAGTTTGTAAGAATTTCTCTCCCTCCCTCCCTCCCTCCCTCCCTCCCTCCCTCCCCCCCTCTCTCTGTTGAATTTGGCCAAGATAGTATTTCCAGTGCAGACCATTGTGAGAAAGCCATAGAAGTTCTTTCTGTTAAGGTCCCAGGTCCTAATGGTGTAAAGGAGAGAGAAAGAAAGAATCAGAAGAACTGGTGTATTTTGACAGCCATATGCCTCTCCTATTTGGATGTATCTGAAATGAAATTTCGGTAAGGCTTCAGCCTCCTATAGAGGCTTCTTAGCTGCCTCATGGTGTCCTGGTATCTACATGGCATGCTTTCAGATTGGGCACTAAATCTTACAGCCTGGTGGGACACGGTAAGTCAATATTTGTGCATTCAGCAGCACACAGCCACTTGCTCCTTAGGTTTCATTGGTCTTCTGTTATAAGGAACTCAAGTGAATCCACTGGTTGAATTGCTTGCTAGGAAGTAATTGGCTGTGAATTTTAATCCCATCATAGTCACTCACCTGCTGAAAGGTTGAATTTTGGTAGATATTTGAATGGATTCTAGAAATGTGTTCTTCTAGAAATGTGTTCTTTTCTCTGCCAAATGATAGAAACAAGAAGCCCTCGCAGGTGGCTGGGTGGCTCCATTCATTATAAATCTTGGAACAGAGAATGTCAGTGCAGACGAGTAACCACACAGTGACATTTGTGTGTAATATGAAGTTGAAGGTTGACTTAAGCTTCTGAAAGGGCTGTGTGTGCCCCGGGTCTCAAGTCTTAGGTTTTAATGCCACACTGTCTTTTTCACTTGGTTTAATTTTTTCCCCATTAATCATGTTTTCAAATATATCTGAAATAACAGAGAATAGGATGACACTTGATGATGCTATGAACCTCCTTCTAAAATCATCAATACTCCCAATTGTATTCAATCAGTCCACATGTACCATTACGCTAATTTCTCATCTGTGAATACTTCATATGAAACTACAGATACAGGCTTCCAAAGAACATAATTACAATATTATCATCATACCTGATAACCTTCTTATTTTAAATATGCCAGTCTCCTGTGTTTAAATTCCTTGATCTTATTCAAAATAGCATATGTATTCAAGTTAGGACTGCCAAAAGTTCCTAATTAAAGTTGACTTACATATCTTTTAGTTTTAAAAGTAATTATTTTTATAATTTTAAAGATTATAAAATTTTTAAATCTTGAGGTTGAATCTTGATGGTGACCCACATTTGAGTCTTACTACTTAACAATATCTCTCCCTCTTTCTTCCCAAGCCATTTGTCTTGGTTACTTCGTCATTGCTATGACAGAGCACATGGCCAAACCAAGGCAACTTATAAAATAAAGCATTTAATTTGGGGGCTCACAGTTCCAGAGGGTTATAGTCAATGACCATTATGGTGGGGAGCATGGCAGCAGGCAGGTAGACATGGTGGCTAAGAGCTTACATCTGATCCACAACCCTGTGACACACCTCCTCCAACAAGGCCAGGCCCTGTAATCCTTCCCCAAACAGTTCCATCAATTATTGACCAAGCATTCAAACATATGAATGTATGGAAGACATTCTCATCCAAACCATCATACCATTTGTCTGTTTAACAGGTTGTTTTTTGTTTTTCCTTTTCAATGATTTCTCACATCTTGAGCTTTATTTTATCCTGTTGTGTTATTTGACTTGTTTGTATTTATAGTTTTATTTGTATTTGTGTTTGTGTATGTGTTCACATGCATGTGTGTGACAGGGTCTTGCTATACATTCCAGCTTGGTCTTGGGCTCACCATACTCTTTCCTCAGCCTCTTCAGTTCTGGGATTATGGGAGTGCACTACCATGTCCACTCAGCCTATGCTTTCTTCTTATAAACTGGTAATAAGTCCAGAAGCTTTACTAAATGTTGGTTTATTTTTTTTGTAAGGGTCAAAAATATTTCATGACCATTATTGGGTATTCACTATTGTATCACACCATCAGCCATGACTTCTGTGTGTTCCGCTCCAACTTTGGTTGTTGGGTCTAATGGGATTAGCATTTCCTATCCATTTTAAGATTTACATCTACAATCACCACTGACTATTGCCTAGGTTCATTCTTTCATAGGGAGTTGCAAGATGGTTGAGAGGACCAAGCAGATGCCATAACACACTGCTCACTCCTCTCTCAGAGATCAGGCCTCAGTTTCAGTTTCCTGAAACTGAACATGCAGTTTCTGAGAGAGCCACAAACGAAGGACAATCAATCTCCAACACCCTGTCAGCCGGGCAAAGAGAACTGCACGTACTCAGGCCTAAGCCAACCTGAGATAATAACCAAATAAGGACAAAGCCTGGGACTTGTCCAAGCCTGCCCCTGAGTGGAAAACTGTAGCCCTGACCAGCCCCTGACTAGCCCGAGCCAATTAGAACATACTAATATGATTGGTATTTACTTAAGCCAATTGTATTCTAAAGTGACCTTACTGCCTTAGGACTTCCCCTTGCCTGTGCTTAAAAGGAGCCTGCAAGCTCCTCTCAGGGTCATTGTCATTTTGCCTTTGTGTGGTATGGTTGGCCCCAGTATACTGGAATCTTTCTTGAGATAATAAATGCTCTTGTTGATTGCATACATGGGTGGTGGTCTTTTGTGGGACTTCTCCCAGGACCCTAACAATGATATTTTTTATTTCATCTCTCTTTCTGAATTGATTGTAATTCTTGTGTACGGAAACACTTTCTTCACATCTATTTGTTTAACCTGAAGCATGGCTCATAAAGGAGAGAAGATAAATGCAGGATTCTAAACTATAATTCCCAAATTTTCAGAATGAGTCCAGAAATATCTAATTATGACCAGATGATTTTAAGTTTTCAAAATATGATTTGAATATAAAGCTTTCATATTTATTATCTATTTTGCTTATTAATTTTAAGTATTTTCATATCTTAATACCTTTAAATATTTAATATATTTTAATCAGTGGGTTTCAACAAAACATTAAATTGAATGTTCACTTCTTCCAACTGAATCTTAACATGATTATCTTAAGTATATGCCTGCTTTAATTTTATGCTAGAAACTGTTAAAAGATAATCATACTTAGAAACTAAATATACCTATCACAGGAAATGTATGATGTAAATGTTGATCATAATGATGAAAATGGAAATCCTTTGTGCTTTTGGCCCTCAACAAATCTTGTTACATTTTCTTTCATTCTTTGTTCATAGGTACATTATTAAATGCTTCCTACCATGTTATTTTTGCTGTCCCTCATACATGCTTTCTGGTGCCTTTCTCCCTCATCTTCCCCGTACATCTGTTTCTTCTGTACCTACATGTAGATTCTTTACCTACATGGATGCCTATTACCAGAGACCCATGGACTTATTTCCTTCATTTGGTGCCCTAGACATTAGGTGGATACCCACTGTGACAAAGAAACTCTTCAAAGAATGCTTTTTAACGGAAGCACGAAGGCACGCAAGTTGTGCACAATGAGGAGGTGCCATGGGAGGCTTCGCCATGACCGCTGGCTCTTTCCCTTGGCCAGCTTTCTGCTGGACCATTTGGGTAGCCACTTCCATTATCTCCACCCATCTCAACACACCGGCGAACACAGTCCCTTTCTCAGTTTTCTGTCTCCCTTAAGGTCCTGAATGCAGCTCCATTACCCTGCATTCCAGCTTTCTCAAAGGTTACTAGTGGTATTGATTCTACATCTTTAAGAAGACTTTTTTTTCTAACCCATTTTTTCCCTGGGTTCTCCCCAGTCTCTCTCAGGATCAGCAGCAGTTCACAGAGCCACAGCAGCGTCTGTACCTCTGTCTTCATCTCCCTGCTTCCGCAGCAGTTGGCAGGTCTGGACTGCACATCTTAGCCCTTGTCTACCACCAGGCTGTTGTTTCTTAGCTCCCTGCGTTGTTTCCTTTTCTTTCGAGTTCCCACTCTTCCACATGAGTGTTAGCATCTCTTCATGCCCAGCATCCTCTTCTCTTTCCCTTTACTCTCTTTTTTTCTTGGATGACTCCATTAATTCACAGCTTTTACAGTATCACTGTGACTCAAGACTCCAACACTGACCTCCAACCCAGGCAAGTTTTTTGAACACCATTTCCAATAGACAGTTCAACCCCAACAAATCCATCACCATCTCATGTGGTTTTTCCTAATAAATAGCACAATTTCTTCCAGTTGTTCAACCCAGAAACCCGAGTCACTCCTGATTTTTTCCTTTTCCCATAAAACCCTTTCTCTCTGGCATCCAACAACCGAGTTATACTCTATTCCCTGAAGTATCTCGACCCATCACCTTTCTCTGGCTCTGCTGCTAGCTAATCTTGATCATGGTCCTTCTCTCACCTGGACTGTGTCAGCACCCCAGTTCTGGATGTCTCCCAGTTCTCTGCTTGTTGGTCTAGGACCCATTTTCTACCCAGCACTTATGAGCGATCATCTTCTCTACATCATTAGGGGCATCACACTTGCAAACCTTCAGTGGCTTTTCATTATACTTATGACAAAATCTAAATTCACAAAGGCTGGCTGTGCCTCTGCATCCTTCTCTAACCTGAGGCTACAATAATCTCCCATTGTATGGGAGTCACTTTTGAAGATGCATTCAAGTCTTTTTTTTTTAACCTCAAGATGTTTGTGTAAGCTGTTCCCTGGAATCAGGATGCTTCTTTCTGGCACTGTTGTGTATGAATTCTTCTGTGAAATCAGCTTCAGTATTGCTCCGGCACTGTGTTTTCTGACCAATGTAACTAAAGCAGGCCTCTGCCAGTTATTTCCTGTTTCATCTTCGTGAGACTATGCTCACAGCCATTCCAGACTTTGTAGTTATTTTATGTGTCTGTTCATTTCTGTCTTCCCCAGTGAATGTGTTCTTCATGACTGAATATCTTGTTGTGCAATATGATTCGAAATAACAAACTAGGTTTAATCTTACTGAAGAAGTGTAAAGCACCTTTGGATAAAGAAAGGGGCAATTTTGGAGGTTGGTAGTTATATCTCTAAACCTCCTTTTGTCTAACAGGTTGGCTCAGTTTCCTATCATTTCTGTACATCCTTGTAGGTGTTTTATGGATGTGATGTGCATGTTCCCTGGAGGGAGTTCTTAGAAGGGGCCTGGCTTGGTCAATGGGAAAACAAAAATTTGAATTTTATTGCCGAGTTGCTCTTCTTCCATTATGAAGTGGGCCTTCATATTTCAAAGTATCTTTGCAATTTCTTAGTACAGTGATAGCTGAAGATTTTATAAT